AGATTTTCTAAGGGTCTGTCAATTTTGTTAATTTTTTTTGTTTGTTTTGTTGATTATTTCTATGTGTGTTTGGATTTGAATTCATTTAAGTCTGATTTAGTTTTAATTATTTGTTTCCATCTACTAGATTGGGGTTTGGCTTGTTGTTCTTTTTGAAAGAGCCTCAGGTACATCATTAAATTGTTGGTTTTAGATCGCTCCAATTTGTTGATGTAGGAACTCAGAGCTTTAAATTTTCCTGAGGACTGCCTTTGCTTTTTCCCAGAGGAGTTGGTAATTTGTATGCTTACTTTTTCTAAATATCATGAACATTTGAATTTCCTTTCTAATCTTTCCTATGACCCACTGTTGGTTCAACAGTGTGTTGTTCATTCTCCATGTGTTACAGGATTTTCTTTGGTGGCTTTTGGTGTTGAGTTCTAATTTTATTCCCTTGTGGTCTGAGGGAATGCAGGGAATAATTTTAATGTTTTTGAATTTGGACAGATTTGCTTTGTGACCTAAAATTTGGATTATTTTGGGGTATGTTCCATGTGTTGCTAAGAATAATGTATATTCTGATGCTGCTGGGTGAAATATTATGTAAATATTTCTTAAGTCTAGTTGGTGTATACAGTTGTTTAGATCTGAGATTTTTTTTCTGTTGAGTTTTTTCTGGGTTGATCTATCCAGTGGGGAGAGTGGTGTGTTAAAGTCCCCAACAATCAATGTCTTTGAATCTCTGTGTAATTTTAGGGAAAGTAGTGTTTCTTGGGTCAATTTGGGTGCCCTAGTATTTTATGAATAAATATTTAGAATTGTTATAACCTCCTGTAGGAGAGATCCCTTTATTAGTATGTAATGTCCTTCTTTATTTCTTCTCCCTAATTTTAATTCTATGTCTGTTTTATCTGATATTAGAATTACAACTGCTGCCTGATATGGGGGTCGTTTGCTTAGTACATTTTGTTCTAGCCTTTCACTTTTCAGAAAATGTTTCTTTTGCGAGGCAAGATGTGTGTCTTGAAAGCAGAAGATATAAGGATCTTGCTTTTTGATCCAACTAATTTCACTAATATTGAGAGTTAGGATTGAGAGGTGTTTGGTAGTTCCTGCCATGTTATCCACCTTCTTTGGGGCTACTGGAGTCTTACTATAATTATCTGATTCTCTGTTTCTCTGCCTTTATTGTGCTCTTGTTTGTTTTTTATGTGTAGGAAACCTTTTTTTTTTGCAAATTTTTTATTGTGATTAAGTGATTACATAATGTATGTGTAGGAAATCTTTAAGTATCTTTTGGAGTGCTGTTTTGGTGGAGATATATTGTTTCAATTTTTCTTTGCTGTGGAAGGTTTTTATTTGTCTCTCTGTTATGAAGGAAAGTTTAGCTGGGTATGATATTCTTTGTTAATTGTTGATTTGTCTTTAGGATGTGGCATATACCATTCCAGTCTCTTCTTGCTTTCGTGGTCTCTGTTGAGAAATCTGTAGTTATTCTGATTGGTTTTCTTTTATAGGTGAGTGATCTTTTCTCCTTGTCAGCTTTAAGGATTCTTTTCTTGTCTCTATTGATCCTGTGTGGATTACAATGTGATCGTAGGAAGTCCTGTTCTGGACTGCTCTATTTGGGATTCTAAACCCTTCTTGTATCTGAATGGGACTATCTTTTTGTATGTTTGGGAACTTCTCTGCTAGAGTTCTGTTAAATAAATTTCCTAGACCATTAGCCTCTGTCTCTAGGCCCTCCTCTACACCCATTAGCCTTAAAGTAAACCTTCTGACAGTATCTTCTATCTGTTGAATGGATCTATTATATTTCTTGGATTTGTTTTGAATACTGTCAGCTCTTTAGAATGTCTAGGCTATCTTCAATCCTAGAGATTCAATCTTCTGCACAATCTAACCTACTGTCAAAACTTTCAACTTTAATTTCCTTTCCTTCAAATTGGTCATATTTGATGGCTTCAATTTATTTGTTGAAGCTTTGTTTTAGATCTTGTTTGGACTTCATTACCTCCTTGATTTGGTTTTCACTGTTCACTCTCTAATTCCTTAGTTGAGTGGTTATAGTTTCACCGGACTCCCTTCCTTTCTGTTGTAATTCATTCAGCTTTCCATTTGTGGATTCCCTGAATTCGTCCATCTTTCTGTTTGTGGATTCCATGAATTCCTCTGTTAATCTTTGGTTAGCCTCATCAGGCTCACACATTGCACTATCACACTCTCACACAAAGCCCTTTGCATTCAGCATGTTTACCAGTAGTGTTTGTAGACCATTTTGAGAACTCACTCTCCTCTGGATTATTCATTAACTCCTCTGCTGCCTTTTTATCATGAGTGGGAGTTAAGATTCCTTGACTTGCCATTTTTCTTGTGTTTCTAAGGCATGGTCTGACCATTTGGGTATGAAAGCAAAACCAGTTCCACACTAGAACACTATTTTATGGCAAGTATCAACCCAGAGCCCTGTAGTTGCACAGATTTATTTATTCTTTTTTACACAGTCAAAATGAGTACAGATACAATGTAGCTCAACAACAAACATCTAGGAACCAATGGACTAAGAAAATTAGAAGTAGCAGGGGACCAGAAATTAAGAGGCATAGGAAGAATTGTGAAGAGAAAATAAGATTAGAGGAATGTAGGGAGAGAAAGGAAGAGAGGAAAGACCTAAAATTCAGACAGTGGAAAAAGAGAGAAAAAAGGGGAAGAAATAAAAATAAAAAGTGAAAAACATAAAAATTTTATAAGTATGAAGAAAAAATAATACGAATAAAAGAACTAAGGTTGAAAAATTGTGAATTAAGCAATCAATGTCTGAATTAAGTATGTGCACAATTAAGGATAAGGCCTACTAATCTAAGATGGCTACATATCTGGGGATGAACAGACCAGCAGTTAAGTAGAGTGAAATAAGAAAAAAATACCAAAAGGGAAATGGGAAAAAAGAATAGAAAACATAAAAATAATAAAATAGAAAAATGTGTTGTAAAAATTAAATAGAAAAAAGAGTTATTTGATTTATTTGGAGGACCTTGTGTCTCCCCTGTGTCCATATCCAATATCTTGATAGAGCCTCTGATTTGCTTGTGGCGTTTGGTTTTCCTGTGGCTTAGTTGGTTTCTCAAATCAGTTTGAGCAGGCAGAAAGAAGCTCTGCCTTACTGGTGTAGGGTCTTTGTGACCCTCCTCCCAGGCTAGTTCCGTGGAAGGGCAGTCTGCTTTGTGGGTCACACAGGAGATGGCTGTTTCCTCTCAGTTGGAATTGCTTTGAGGGAGCTTGAATGTGGGTGGGGTCATGGCCTGTGTGCAATCAGTAGCTTTTCCCTGAGGGGTTAGTTCCTGAGATACTCTTTCTGCCTAGCCTGGGGCACAGCCTGGAGCCACTCCCAGGATTTATGCAAATCCAGTTTTGAGTATTTTTTTTTAACTTCCTGAAGCCAGGAGAGCTGCCAGTGCTGCAGAGGGGCAGGTCCGCCTCTGGCTCTGTTTTACTGAAGAAAATCACCCCTGCCCTGGGCAGGACTTCCTCCATCTTGGAAGAGCAATTTTCCTCTGGGTGGAGCTGAGACGCACTGGTCAGGTTCCTTTGCCCTGTTGAAAATGGCTCACCAGTATCTATTTTTAAGGCGCGAGTTATCTGCAAGTTGTTCTGGCCAGTCTTTGCCATTATCAAAGATGGTGTTCTTCTTGGGTGGTGGGGGAGGGGCTACTCTCCAAATGCTGTTCTGTGAGAAGGAATGGGAATGTCTCGTAGGACACTCATGCCTTTCTCTTCATTTTTGGGCCGTTGGCCATCTACATCATCTGTTGTCAGTAGGATGAAGATTTCTGCTTCTTATCAGTTCATGCTGGCCATGAGTAGAAGCCACTCTCACTCTGTCTCTGGCCCTTTTGTCCAGGCTCTGTCTGTTGATATGGCGTCAGAGGCAGCCAACAGCCACTGCCACCATAGTCACCAGCGAGTGCTCCAATCTGTCTCCTTAAATAAGCTGCCTGAATTTTTCCTCTCTGGCCAAACTCTCTGTACTATGATGACTCACTTGGTGTGACTCTCTATTATTTATTTATTTACCATCTTTAAGTAGTTGTGCAAAGGAGTTTCAATTCAACATGTCAGTTATGAGTATAATTCATCTTGGTCAATGTTAATCTTCCATCATTCTCCCCCATTGATCCTGACCCCATTCATTCCTTCAAGTTATCTGGGTCCATTTTCACATATGCACATTGAATATTATGACTCTATTTTCCTTCTAAGTATTAAATGTTAACTATTAGCAAGAAAAGTACTCCTTTCTTCATAGAATTGTTCTCAGTGGCCTTGATTAGCCTTTTTTTTTTTTTTTGGTCAGTCATGGTGCCTGAACTCTGGGTCTGGGCACTGTCCCTGAGCTCTTCAGCTCAAGGCTAGCATTCTACCACTTGAGCCACAGCGCCACTTCTAGTTTTCTGAGTGGTTTATTGGCAATAAGAGTCTCAAGGGCTGGCTTTGCACTGTGATCCTCAGATCTCTGCCTCCTGAGTAGCTAGGATTACAGGTATGAGCCACCAGCACCTGGCTTGCTTAACCATTTTTTTAAAAAAAAATTTCATCATCATTATGATTTTTATTGTTGTTGTTGTTCAAGTACTGACACTTGAACTCAGAGCAAGGGCGTTGTTGTTTGGCTTTTTTGCTTATGACTGATGCTCTACCACTTGAGCATTTTTGACTTTTTACTGGTTAACTGGAGACAGGATCTCATAGATTTATCTGCCTAGGCTTGCTTTGAACTGTGATTCTTCGATGCCAGCCTTCTGAGTACCTAACATTATAGGCACAGGCACAAGTAGTATCTGCCTTCTAAGATAATTGCCTTTTGTTTTCCTAATCAATTTTTGTTTGAAGAAAAGTTCAAAACAAATGATAATATGTTGTTGTATGTTATATACAACTCAGCAACAGTCTATTTACATTTGTTAATGTGCTATTTCTATTGTAAGGGAAAATTTTAATTTTCTCTTTTTTTCTTGTTTTAGGAACGACAAGAAATAACTTTGAGGGAAAAAAAGTCATTAGCTTGGAATATGAAGCCTATTTGCCAATGGCAGAGAATGAAATCAGAAAAATATGTAGTGATATTAGGCAGAAGTGGCCAGTTAAACACATAGCAGTGTTCCATAGACTTGGGTAAGATTGCTTTATGAATCCGGAAGTTCAGTGTAGTTGTTTTCCTCTAAGTGCTAATGCTGCTTCTGGGTACTTTCTCAGGCATTTACATTAGTTACTGTAAAAGGAAAGCTTCCTTCTCCATGGAGAAGAGTACCTATGTCCTAAAGACCTCTTGTTGGGTTATAACTTTGGAGCATCCTTACTGCCTCCTTTAGTGTATTGAAGTGAAAATGTGTTGAGATTTCCATATCCTGGGTGTACATACCTGGATAAATATGTGCTAAAGTTCTTGAGGACTTTTAGGAAGTTCTTTTGTTCTCTAAACTGTTTATTTCAGAATCTGTTGCAAACATGGCATCATTTAAGTTATTTGAATTTTTCTACCACTAAAAGCCTAGGCTTGAAATGAAGCTAGCCATTAAGATTACCTCTGTCACATTGCTTATTCTTTTATCATTAACAATGATTTTATTAATAACCAATAATTTTGTTAATAATTTTCTTAATCATGTTGCTTAATATTTATTGCTCTTGCTTTAAACTCTGTGTTGTATTTATGTGGTCACATTGCATCTCTGGGCCTTGCTTGGTCTTGAGCCTTATTTGTTTGAATCAACTGTTTGCTGAGTCAGCAGATTCAGCAGGTCCCCATTAATACCTGTAGGCAGGTATTAACAGATTGACCACAACATCAGCTCAGTCTTACCTTAGTTGAATGTAACTGAGATAGCTTACTGTTTTCTAACTATATTAGGTAATGAAATAAAGGAGAATGACCATGTAGTTCTACTGTATAACTAGAATTTGGTTTTTAATTTTATAGTGGATTATTTCACATGTAGCTCAGGTAATTTTTTCTTCCTCATCTTGTTAAAGCTTGGTTCCAGTGTCAGAAGCAAGTGTGATTATTGCTGCATCCTCAGCCCACAGGGCTGCGGCTCTTGAAGCTGTGAGCTATGCCATCGATACTTTAAAAGCCAAGGTGCCTATATGGAAAAAGGTAAGTTAAGAAGATCCATCATTTTGCCATGTGGGCAAGCTGTTTCTCAGAATTGTTAGCTAAAGCCCAGGGACTCAGAGTACATCCACAATTTGTATTCATATGCCTTCCTTGACTATATAGTTTTGTTTTCTTTATGTGCAACAGTACATTTATAATAGTATCTCCTTCCAGGTTTGTTAAGCATGAGAAATATATCCCACAGATATAGTGGGCCTTGATAAGCGCTAGCAGTTGGAATTCCTATGGATGACATCTTAATTAGAATTCCATTCAAGTGGAAGATCTTCGTTTAGGAGAGCAAGAATAATGTCTGGCTACTTAGACTGGTTAAAATAGAAATTCCTCAAGGCAGAGAACTTTTTCCTTGTGTTCCTTTTGTTTAAGAAAGTGAGAGAGGGGAGAAAATTGCTATGTCTAAGAAATGCATAGCGAGTGGATTTAGAAGGATAAATAAAGCTGGGGGCCAGTGGCTCATGCCTGTAATCCTAGCTACTGAAAGGCTGAGATCTTAGGATCATGGTCCAAAGTCAGCCTGGGCAGAAAAGACCCCATGAGAGATCTTAGGATCATGGTCCAAAGTCAGCCTGGGCAGAAAAGACCCCATGAGACTCTTATCCCCAAATAACTGCTCAAAAACTGGAAGTGGAGCTGTGGCTCAAAATGGTAGATGAAGAATCCCAAATCTGAAAATAAGGCCACCGACTCAGTTAAACAGTGCAATGAGTCTTTTTATTAGCTGTGCAGTGACTATACCTCTTTCCTTCCTTCCTTCTTTCTTTCCTTCCTTCCTTCCTTCCTTTCTTTTTCCTTCCTTTCTTTCTTTCTTTTTTGCCTTCCTTTCTTTCTTTCTTCTTTTCTTTCTTTCTTTCCTTCCTTCCTTCCTTCCTTTCTTCCTTCCTTCCTTTCTTTTCCTTCCTTCCTTTCTTTTCCTTCCTTTCTTTCTTTCTTCTTTTCTTTCTTTTTCTTTCCTTCCTTCCTTCCTTCCTTCCTTCCTTCCTTCCTTCTTTCTTTCTTCCCTTCCTTCCTTCCTTCCTTCCTTTCTCTCTCTCTTTCTTCCTTCCCCCCCCCCCCTTCTTTCTTTCTCTCTCTCTTTCTGTCTCTTTCTTTCTTTGCCTTCCTTCCTTCCTTTCTTTCTTCTTTTCTTTCTTTCCTTCCTTCCTTCCTTCTTTCTTCCCTTCCTTCCTTCCTTCCTTCCTTCCTTCCTTCCTTTCTCTCTTTCTTTCTCTCTCTCTCTCTTTCTTTCTTTCTTTCTCTCTTGTGGGGTCTGAACTCTGGGCCTGGGCGCTGTCCCTCAGCTCTTTAGCTCAAGGCTAGCGCTCTACCACTTGAGCCACAGTGCCACTTCCTGGCTTTTTCTGCTTATGTGGTGCCTTAAAATCGAACCCAGGGCCTCATGCATGCCAGGCAAGCACTCTACCACTGAGCCACCTTCCCAGCCCTTCCCCACTATTTGAGTAGTGGGATGCAGTGAGAGCTGCATGGGAGGGGGTGTCGAGGCAAGCAAGCAGATTTACAGAAGCAAAACATAGCTTTGAGTTGCAGAAACAGAAGCAAAACACAGTCTTGAGCTGGTCAGCATGGCTAATGTTATTAATACTATAGATACTTGATTTAAAAAGTCAAAAAATATCCTTGGATTACAAAAGTCAAAACATATCCTTGGGTAAGGGTAGTCTATTTTACAGAAATGGTTTTTATTTTAAGTTCCTAATACAGCAACAGTACATCTGGTGTTAAGCTTCAAGATTGTCAATCACCTTCAGCAGAGTTTATGGTAAACTGCAAAGCTGCCAGCTTGATAAACTTGAGTGAAGGAGAGATGTTCTTTGGCTTTTTAGCAAGGATGGAAAAGGCTGAGGCTGACTACTGGCCATTTGACCCGGAGTTTCTCTCTACAGAGGGGTTCTGTCTTTAATATTTGGCCCCATTTTTAATAATAATTTTGTCCTGTTTCTGATTTTACATGTTACATTCCTCACTCCTTTTCTGTACACTTCAGATCTTTGATATGTGTCATCTTCCTTTCTAGCCAGGGGTGTATAACAAACCTGTATATGTAGCACCATGAATATAGAAACTTTAGGCAAAAGACTGACCAAGTTAGGTGGGGTAGATGAGCAGTGTTCAAGGTCTCAACTGCTTCTGGGTTAGAGGCATCGCATCAGACGTGGCTTTGATGTCAGGCTCTCTGCAGTCTTATAGATGCCACCAGGTCTTTTACAAAGATAAGCTCTATCTTAAAACTCAACACATACCCACACCATCTTCTACTACTCACACTGCTGCAACTTACTTCTGTGGTTTGTCTTAATTTCCTTCTTTGAGCAAACATTTAAGACAATTCTTCCTTTTCAAGTTCTTTGTAATCTAACAGAAATCATTTTTTCTGTTTCCTCAATTCTCTTTCCAAAGTCTTTCTTTATACTCTAAGCTCTGTCTTATAAAACTTTACACATTCTTTTTTCTTCCTGTTTCCTTATCTCATTAACAACTTTGTTATTATGCTCCCCCAACACCTTTTACATTTCTTTGAGCTTCTTTGCAGCTTGAGTTTAAAACTGTCCACTTTTTTTTTCCTTTGGTTTGTGGAACCAGGTTATCTTAGAATTGCTTCAAGGCAATTTACTGTGGGTCCACCCACAGGCTAAAGAAGAGATAGGGTCCAGGCAGCAGTCTGCTGCTCCTAAGCTCACACACAGAAAGAAACAGCTTATTGCCAGAGCCAGACAGAAAGAAACAGGTTATTGCCAGAGCCAGCCATAACCATGACTATCATGAAGAAATAGAGTGGATTTCTCTAGTTCCTGGTGCCTTGAAGTGTCTAAGGCTGGCCAGTGATGTTGTCCTGGCCCTCAATATCTACTGTGGGAGTAGAGAGGGTTACTGGATATCACAGAAGGAATGTCCCACAAAAATCTTAGTTTCAGCAGGTCTGAAGCGGTCTTCCAGTGGGAACCAGCCACAGGTGATGGCGTCAGGGGCGTCAGTCCACTTTCACAACAGTGGAGGTGGTCAGGGTGATGGTGTGGATTTCCCTCCGGATGACTGTCAGGCTCTCTTTGAACTTTACCCAAAAGTGTGGGCAGTAGCAGCAGCAGCAGGATCTCTTAGTGGCTCCAATGGATGGTCACACCTCCTGCTGGGCTGCAAATTCCTACACAGACTGGTTAAGGATACTTTATATAGGCTTGGCAGGCTGAGGCCCCACTGGTTTTTAAGACAGTTCAGACAGTGACCCAAGACAATTTACTAGGGTGACAACTTTTTACTAACCAGATATTTTCTTTTTTTTTTTTTTTTTCCAGTCGTGGGGCCTGAACTCTGGGCCTGGGCACTGTCTCTCAGCTCTTCAGCTGTCGACTAGCGCTCTACCACTTGAGCCTCAGTCCCACTTATGGCTTTTTCTGCTTATTTGGTGCTGAAGAATTGAACCCAGGGCTTCATGAGCCACCTTCTCAGCCCCGAACCAGATATTTTCCTAAGCATACATAGAAGGCTTGGACTTGTAACCATCTCCAACAAGTGCAGTCTCCAAATTTGCACACTTGTTACCACTATTTCTCATGCCTCTTCTTTTTATCTGTTTTGCCTTGCTTTTCCAAAACTGACTCTGGACCCTTGATCTTAAGTGGAGGTTGATGGGTGAAGATCCTCTTCTCTAACTTCTTCAAGCTGACTCAGGGTCTTTGACCCCACCTTGCCAGAAACCTAGAATCTTAGCCTATTTTACAAAGAGATTACTAGGATTAGATGTTTAAGAACAATATTTTATGCCAAACTGGAAATTATATACGACTTTAATTTTTAACAACTGCACAGACCTTCTCTTGGGCTACAGAAGCATAGCCTGTTTTAGCACTTTGGTTTGCAAAAACATTTTTCTGGTTGGCTGAGGAACCTGATCTCTGTGACCCTAAAATCCAAGTTACCTTTGCAGGCCTTTAGACAGGTATCAATAGGGACACACTCTCAGGCTCACAAACTTCCCTTCCTGAACCGATGAATTTATGTGGCTGGTGCCAGTAGAGTGCTAATCTTGAGAAAAAATGATTGGGGACAGAGCCTAGGCCCCACAATCAACAAACAAACAAAAAAAAACAAGCATAAATAGATCCTGAGTACAGTAGTACACACCTGTAATTATAGAATTTGGTTAGCTGGGGAGGAGGATCACATATTTACATTCAATTTGGACTATACTGCAAGACCCTGTCAAAAAACAAAACAAAAAGGAGATTCTGGCTTGTTTCTATCAGTAAAGAGACCGTAAAAGAAGTCAAACCAACCAAGATGAGGGAATTCTCGGTGCAATAGACCATTCTTAGGTGATAGACCCCTACCTTGGCCCCCTGGAAGAGTAACATTAGCTGCTGTACTTGGACAACTGTATTTTCACATCTGAGTCAGAATTGTCCCAACAACGGACTTTTGAGAAGGTTGAGGGATCCCTGAACAGCTTAGTGGATCAGAGAAGCAGAGCAGAAGACCGGGCATCCAGTGGTTAAGCCTTGTCACTTTCCAGGGGACTCCGGCATCAGTCATTGGGAAAATGGAGCAAGTAGGGCTTTAAAATCAAGGCCTGGAAAATTTAGGAGTCATAAAATCACAAATTCATTTTTTATTTCAGTAAAGCCCAAATATGACTGTCTTGCTATGACCCGAACGGCCACAATCTCATTAGAACATGAGAAAGGCTCAGAAGAGGGAGGGGCAGGGAGAGAGTTGCACACGAGCTACAGGTCTAGATGGCAAGGCAAGCTTTCTTTACCAGGAAGAAGAGGATGCAGAGTCAGGTGGCAGAAAGCAGTGGCCCTTGACAGTGAAGGACAAGGGCAGGAGTGGGGTATGGTCTCATTTTTATGCTTGGCAGATAAGCAAGGCTCTCTATTTATGTCTCTGTCTATAGAGGCTTGGGGATTTTCAGGTTTTAGAAATGTATATCCATAAGCAGTTAGAGCAAACAAGAAACCATGACATCACCAAATGAAACGACACTTTAGTGTCCTTTAGGACTGCAAATTCTACAGATGGTTGTTTTGAGGAAATGAAATGAAGTAAATTTTAAGAGAACTCAGAAAAGCAACTCTGATTTATGGAGATTGACAGCATTACCAAAAAATAAAAAAAGAGAAAGAAATCTTCAATTTGAAAACTAGAGTGAATAAACTCCAACCGTTGGATTTAGATTCCTCTCCCTGCAGACATGGTATCCAATGAACATGGGGGGATAGTTCTATAAATTCTAATATCATTCTGCCTCGCCTGTGTAGATCATGTGATACAGGGAAGGGCACAGATCAAGGAACACTGAACACTAGAATGCAGCTGAGCAGGAACTCAGTGGTGGAGTGCTCACCTGCCACACCCCTCACAAAAGAAATTATTTTCACAGGTAATGGAAATGTCTTATCTTAGAAAGGCATTTAGCATGTCAAAGTAGTAGGCATGTTTGGAAGCAAATGTGTTTAAAACTAAAGATTCTATCTTCTTCTGTCTTCTTCTACATAACCTAAACATAAAGTCTCTCGTTTGAGTGGATGACCCAAATGGAATTAGTTGTTTATCCTCCGTGTCATGCAATGTGTAAGACCTCCTGGGCTGACATGTTCATCATTGAAATTGGAGTCCTTAAGTGGAGGAAACATGAATGTTTACTTTTTTGCTCTTGATGTCTTACATAAACATTGGTTGGTTTGTTAAACAGGAATGATGGGACTAGAGTCATTTGTCAGATTTGTTCAGATGTATTTTATTTGCGCATATTACAATAATCTACTTTGATATGTTATGGCTCTGTCTTTCAGGAAATGTATGAAGAATCATCATCATCTTGGAAAACAAACAAAGAATGTTTTTGGGCCAACAACAAGTAGTCACATTTGTAGAACACTCAATATTAAATTTGGCAAACTTACTGCTGCTCACATTTTGATTTTTCTTCTCTACAAATGAAGATGATTCATTGATGCATCATCACTGAGGTGATGTCAGCTCACTGACATCAAATTGGAGAAAAAGGAAGCATATGAATTGATGTGAGAGATGAGGGGGACAGGATAATTGAAGTGTATTTGAGTATATTTGCATATATTGAAATCAATAGGACAAGTCAGATGCAAGGACTGATGTCTATAGGTGTGTCTTTCCATGACTGACTTCTGATTGTCTCAGCTCAGGCTGAGGTGTGGTCTCTCCTGTTCTTATGTCTCAGAGAGTGTGCCCCCTCCCCAGATCAACTTTGTTATCAGACTTAATATTGTATATTAAATATTTTTCAGAACTTATATAGCTTAGAAAATAAACCCTTGAATTCAGGAAGCTTAAAAATAAGCCATGCACCAGTATCTCACACCTGTAATCCTAGCTACTCGGGATGCTGAGATCTGAGGATCCTCTGGCAGAGAAATCCATTAGACTTGTATCTCCGATTAACCAGCAGAAAGCCAGAAGTGGAGGTGTGGTGCCACTTGACGCCTTGAGTTCAAATCCTACTCTACTGACACCAAAAAAAGTTTAAAAATAGTATTTTTTTGCTTCTTAAAATTTGGTTATAATTGATAAAATATTTTATTTATAAAGTCTTCTAGTATTTTAGACCCATAATTGTACCATAATAGTTTTCATATTTTTATTAGGTATTAATATGGTATCAATATACAAATTAGCATACAGGTGTGAAACTGGCAATATATGGTTTTTGTGTAAAAATATTAGTTGATGTTTAAAATTTGACTCATACCTGTTTAAAGAAATTATGTTAAGGAAATGAATATAAAATTATATTATTTATTAATACATTTTCAGAAAATTTTCCTTTGGATATTTATGCAACATTATCATTATTGAAGCCACAAATAGTTAATTTTCCAAGGCTTTCCATTTCCTTACAAATGGGGCAGTGTCATTCTTTCTGATGGAAGCATAGAATTCCATTATATACATGTACTACATTTTCTTGACCTATTCATCTACTGAGGGACATCTGGGTTGGTTCCATACCTTAGCTGCTATGGTGAATAATGCGATAAACATAGTTGTGCTGGTAACTTTATTATGGCCTTGTTTGTGGTCATTTTGGTAAATACCCAGAAGTGGGATTGTTGGGTCATAGGGGAGCTCTATTTTGTGGAACCTCCATACTGTTTTCCAAAGTGGTTGAACCAGTTTATACTCCCACCAACAGTGCAGTAGGATTCCCTTTTGGCCACATCTCCTCCAGCATCTGTTGTTAGATTTCTTGATTATAGCCATTCTAACTGGGATGAGGTGGAATCTCAATGTGTTTTGAGTTATATTTCCTTAATGGCTAGAGATGTTGAGCATTTCTTCATGTGTCTATTGGCCATTCTTATTTGTTATTCAGAGAAGTCTCTGTCTTTAGCCCACTTATTAATGGGGCAGTTGTTTCTTTGAGGATTTGTTTTTGGGGGATTTAATTTTTTGGGTTCTAAATATATTTTAGATATGAGGCCTTTGTCTGTTGTATGGCTAGTGAAGATCTCCCAAACCGTGGGCTTTGGGCTTTTTATTGATCTTGCTAGCTATGTCCTTTGCCATGCAGAAGCTATGCAGTTTCATTCAATCCCATTTGTTCAACTTCCTTGATTTGTTATGTTTCTGGGTCTTTATTAAGAAAATTTTGGCCTGTGCCAAGGAGCCCGGGAGTTTCTCCTATTCTTTCCTGTAAGTGAAATAAGCCAGACCCAAAGAAACATAGGTCCCATGGTTTCCTTCATTTGCAATAATTAGTATACATTTAGGATAATCTTTGCAGATGAGCTAATAGCTCAATAGCCATGTACATATGACATATAAGATGATACTAAATGAAATGAATTACAAGACATGGACACAAGAGGTCTTTCTTTGTTGTTGTTTTTAATGTACAATATGATTTTTTGTTTCTTTTGTATGTTCTTTCTCCTGTGGTATATCCCCTGTATATGATTTTGGTTCCCTGGTATTGTATATATGTGTATTTGATTTAGGGGAGGGAAGGGGAACAACAGAATGGTGATACAAAGGACAAGGCGGGAACCAATGCAACAGCAACAGTCACAAGACAATATGTTGGAAATGATCTGTACAACTTGGGGGTTAGGGTTGGGAGGGGAGGGAAAGTAGGAGAAAATTGAGGGAAGGGATAACAAGATTGACAAGAAATGTACTCATTACCTTACTGAAACCCCTCTGTACATCATCTTGACAATAAAAAATAATACAAAAATAGTTAAATACAAAAAATAGTTAAATTTTATAAAATATTTTTATATTAAACAACTCCTATACTAACCAATTTTTGACTGTTCAACCCCTTCTGTCTTCATAGATATGAACATGTAAGTCTCAGACAAAATATTTTGAAATAACTTCAGCTTTATTAAAGTACGTGTAACAAATAAAAATTGTCAAGTGTATTTATCATATACAGTGTACTGTTTTGATAAATGTTTATGTTGTGAAGTGATTAGTACAGTGATTAGAGGATCACGCTTGTAGAACAACCCAGCAGAAATGTCCACAAGACTGCGTTTTAGTGCACCATGAGGTGTCCCTGGCAGTGAACAGTGGCTACCTGTTGGGGAAGGGAAGCAGCTTCTAGGAGCTTCAGAATAAGTGAGGCGTTAGTAATGGAAGTCCCTTAAGTGGACAGGAAGCCGTACTCCTTCCAGATGGCTGCTTGTGAATGGAGAATAGGATAGGCATATTTTGATATGTATAAATCTTAATCCTTTGACCCTTGGCTAGCATTAAGGCCCTAGTAAAAGCTGTAAGTTCTGCCTTTTGTGAGGTAGTGCCAGGGGGCAGAGGGCTGCTTTCAATGGCATAACCCACAATTCAGCTGCTGAGGGGGTAGGTGTGGAACTGCCATCGATGTACCAGGTATCTTCTGGGTCAGGAAGAGGGGCTTCTCAGATGCCTGTAAAATGGGTTGTGAATCCCTCCAAGGTCTCTATATAGGAGTGGGACAGAAGGTTAGAATTGGATGGAATCAGGGTGGCTGGATTGAGAGGGGAGCAGCTTTCCAGGGAGAAGTCAGGGTTTTCAATGAAAGTAACATGAAGCAGCTGTAGGAAGGAAGGGGAAAGGGAAGACAGGGCTTCATGAATAAAAGGTCCTTTAGTCTGTGGGGGGAGCAAATGGTAGTGGGTTGGCCAAAAGTGAATTTTGTGCTCTCTTGTGCTAAGATGGTGGCTGCTGTCAAAGCTCAAAAGCAGGCTGGCCAGCCTTTTACCGTTAGGTGTAGTTGTTTTGAGAGGTAGGCCACAGGTCTAAAAGAGGGGCCTGACATTTGTCCAAGAACCCTAAGGCCAATTCCCCACTTCTCAGTGACATAGAGTATAAAGGGTTTCTTAAGGTTGGGTAGAGCTAGAGGTGGAGCCTGAACAAGCGCTTGCTTCAGTACCTTAAATGGGGTGTCAGTGGGCTTTGTGGGGTCCGGAGCTCTAGTAGGGAGCCCTTGGTTGCCTGATAAAGGGGTTTAGCAAGTTAGCAAAACGATGTATCCAAATACAAAGAAAGCTTGCAAGTTCCAGGAAAGACAGAATGTCCTCCTTGGTTTGTGGGACAGAGAGAGACTTGACTTTTCTACCAAGAGTAATGCTTCTCTCTGTAGGAGTTATGGACAGATCTCTGGCTTTGTTATCTGGGTCTTGGAAGGGGAGACTCTATATCCTTTGGCCAATAGGAAGTTGAAGTCAGTTGTATATTGGCAAGCCAACTCAAAGGGCTGCAAAGCAAGAGGTTACCAACATACTGAAGAATGACACTAGCAGATACCTCAAGAGAGAGGAGGTCCTTTGCTAAAGCCTGTCCAAAAAATAGGGACTGTCTCAAAACCCTTGAGGAGGACTGTCCAGGTCAGCTGCTGTGCCCTGTAAATATCTGGGTCCACCCAGGTAAAAGCAAAGAGGTTCTGACGGTCAGGATGCAAGAGGATTGTTAAAAAACGCATCCTTAAGGTCCAACAGGCGGTACCAGGAGGCATCTGTGAAAGGAGAGTATATGAGTTAGGCACAACCAGACGAATGGGAAGGACGCAGTGCTAATAACACGCAGGTCCTGGACTAGTTGATAGCTTCCATCAGGTTTAACTATTGGCAGAGGGGTGTTAAAGTGGGAGTTAGTAGGTTTGAGAAGTCCTTGTTTAAGAATGGGAAGGTTTTAAACTGTGCCTATGTTGAAGGGAAATGAGGTATTGGTATGTAATGGCTAAGGTCTTTAAGTTTAATGAGGACAGGAGTATGGTGTCTAGCCATAGTGGGTGTGGAAATATCCCAGAGAAGGGGATAGGCAAGATCTGGAGGGAGGGGGAAAGGATCTAGTTGGGAGGTCACAGGTGGGGTGCATCTAAAGATAAAAGTAGAATAGGTGTTGGCTGTTTGGGGACATATGCCTGTCATTCTAAGCCACATAGGCAACTGAGATCAGGATGATTCGGGTTTTAGGCCAGCCTCAAGGCTCCATCAACATGGAGGGAAGTTGGATGTGGAATCAAGAGACCTTGTAATCCTGTTGTATCTACTGAAATGATTTTTGTGTAAGGACATTGGTTCAACAAATATTTGAGCATGCCCTCACTTCTATCTTGCAGTAGGTCTGCTGGGCTGTGGCTGGTGTAGACTGGCTGTTATTGCCCTTGACACCCTTTCCTGCATGTCCCCATCTTGCTCTTCCTTTACAGATTCCTGTCACTGTTTCAGGCTCTGATTAAATGCTATTGCCACTGAGCCTTCAGGGAGTACTCTAAGCAATCAAACCCAGGACCTCATGCATGGTAGTCAAGCATTCTACCACTAAACCACACTCTTAGCCCTGAGTATTCTACTTAAAACTGGAATACTGTCCCTTTACTCTGCCTCATGTTTATATTTTTATTATCTTTAAGTAGTTGTACAAAGGAATAGCCATTTCACAAAGCAGTTTATGAATATCATGTGTCTTGATCAATATCAGCCTTTCCAATATTCTTAACCATCCCTCCCAAACCACCCTTCCCCCACTTAATTTTGTAGGATATGTATGTATGGATGGATGGATTGTGTGTGTGTGTGTGTGTGTGTGTGTGTGTATGTGTGCCAGTCTTGGGGCTTGTACTTGGCCTGGGTGCTGTCCCTGAGCTTTTCTTTTGCTCAAAGCTAGAACTCTACCACTTGGGTGCTGTCCCTGAGCTTTTCTTTTGCTCAAAGCTAGAACTCTACCCCTTGAGCCACAGCTCTACTTCTGGCTTTTTGGTACTTTATTGGGGATAAAAGTCTCACAGATATTCCTACTTGTGCTGGCTTTGAACTACTTATCCTCATATCTCAGTCTCCTCAGTAGCTAGGATAATAGGCCTGAGAGAGAATGCATTGAATTTTTGACTGCATCCTTCTCCCATCTCACCCCTCCCTCTTTATCCACTGTCAACTTAATGTTACTTGCTGTACATCTACTAGTTTGTCATACTCATTAGTGTATAAGCTTTATGAGATTAAGCTCATGTATATTTGTTGTAGGAATGAATACTAGTGCTGTTGATATATTATGACATATTAAATACACATGACATTTACTTTAGCACTTTACCAATGTGAAGAGATATCTGGTTAAAATAATGAGAAGATAGGCACAATTTGTCTCCACCACTCCCTTTCTTTCTTCTATCCTCTGTCTTAAATACTGAGGAACTAATTAATTAGTATGTTAAATATCTCCATCATGATTTGGGTGCTATAATTGTCTTTTCCAGTAGAGGGCAGTATAGCAAGGGCTATAGTGATAACAGCTTGAGTAGGTCCCGTTTTTGCTTTGCATGGAATCAAAAAAATGCACAACTGAACACATACATATACACAAACATATTATTGTGGAGGGCAAGAAGGTTGTGGCAAGAGCGCCAAGAGGGGCGTGGGAGATGTGGACCCCTAATGCAGCATCCCTCAGTCCATCATCTGTACAATGATGGTGAGAGATGTACAGTGATGGCATATTGTTTTAATCGTATTTCACTTCAGCATGTTTAATTTTATGACAAAATATGTCACACCCCCTACCTGCTTACTCTTCAAGTTTCTGTAACTGCTTATAACTATGCTTTTGTAGGTTGCAGCAGTGTGGTGGATTTGTTTTCATAAGATTACTAGATACCTACGGCTAGTTACATTGTTAGTCTTCTTAAATCTTGAGTGTGTTCTGAAGCAAAGCAAATCTGTAATGAAATTTATAACTTGTAAAAAATAAAAATCCAAGGAAACTATATTTTCAAAACCATTTTAATATTACTAATGTGGGAGGAAGAGCAATTTACAATGCAACTTTTAGGTTTCCTTCTCATACTACAATACAAGTAAAGCTCCTGGTTTATATTGATTACAAGTCTAGTTGGATTTTTGTTTCTCCAATGAAGTGTGCAACTTGATATACAAAGGGATACATTCTTTTTTTTATTTTTGTGGAAGAGAAAAAAGACAAAACACATTTAACATCAAAGCCCTAATGCATCTTGTGTGAAGGAAATAGATAATTTCTTCTTTAAAAATATACACTTCAAACATAGTTGTGTGATATATACATTTACATTTTGACTTCATCTGCACAAACACATCAAGTATATTATAGGGCTTTTTATATGTACATAATAGACACATATTGTTCTTTAGATTCAAAGAAGTAGCTATGATTTTTAATTGCTTCAAATTTTATCCCTATATTTACCTTTTATTTCTATGTATAATCTTTCAAATTAAAGTGGACATGCCTGAATGTATGTGGAAGGAATACAAACTTATATGCACAAATTTTTTTTTTGAGTCCAGTCGTGGGGCCTGAACTCTGGGCCTGGGCGCTGTCCCTCAGCTCTTCAGCTCAAGGCTAGCGCTCTACCAGTTGAGCCACAACGCCACTTCTGGCTTTTTTCTTTTTGCTTATGTGGTGCTGAGGAATCGAACCCAGGGCCTCAGGCATACAAGGCAAGCGCTCTACCACTGAGCCACCTTCCCAGCCCCACAATTTTTATGTGTAAAAGTTGAAAATATTAAATATAAACCTGGAAGCTCCACTAAATGTTTCCTCCTACCTCTTATTAATGATGTCTTAAAGAATGAGAATTTCATAGATTGAGTTATATCTGTATATTGGGATAAATATACTATAAAACTAAACCTTTTATAATAATTTTAGGATAGTCACTTTGGTGACTAATAGGCTTTTGCTTTCACAGTTGATATGCAACTTTCACTATTTCATAAAATAACATTGCTAGCTAGAAAAATTTCTGTCTAGTTCAGACTTCTCAATTTTCTGCTGGCATAAGCAATGTACAATTTTAAATCAATACAGTGTTTTCATCAAGCTACTTTGCTATTATTTTATAAGGCTTATGTGACAGTCATGCATAAAGCAACACGAAATTTTTACCATGTTCTATACACATTGGTTATAGGCCATTTATGAAATGGAAACGTTAACATGACATCTTTTAAGGCCTTCCCTGACTTGCTTTTACAGGAAAAGTGTGATGAAATGGGAGCTGGGACTTCCTTTTAAAGGCTGTTTCCCCCACCCTTTGCATTAGTTCTTGCATGAAAAATAGGCTACTTTGCTTCAAAGCTCTAGAGAAACACTTGCAAGCAAGGTCTGCAGCCATGGCTGGCCTGAGCTGAGAGCAGGGGAAGCATGCTACCTGCTATCTGGGCAGGGGAAGCATGCTACCTGCTATCTGGTAGCAAGGATGCTTCTTATAGACATCCCTCCAGGCATGGGTGGTCATATCCTCCTCCATCCAAAAGGAAACCACCAGACCCCAAATGACAGCAATGTCAAGACAGAAATGCCCTGAGCTCATGTTATTCCTAGACAAGTGGCTAAGATTTCGAAACAGTGTCTTCCAGGCCATCTTCAGCCAAAGCTAGCCAGAATGCTCCTCAATATACGTAGGAGATGGCTTTCGTTTATTTATTTGCTATCAAAGGAAGAGGAGGCAGAATAAAATCAAAGCAATGGTGTGCTTTAGTCATTTGTATGTACATTGCAAAACTATATGTGCAATAGATACATAGTTTATTAATTTTTTTGTCTACCTAATGACCAATGTCTCCACATTTTTTTAAATGAAAATTTTGGTTGGAATAACCCAGTGAATCCACACAGCTGTTAAAAGAATCAGGCTCTGGCATGGACAACTAAAGAATACCATGCTGTTTTTGCTATAAATCCCTGATGGCTTCCCTCCCCCCATCCCTGCCCCCATTCATTGTGCTTTGTAATACTAGGTAAGTCATTAACAGATCCAGATAGCCATCCTCCAGAGCTCAGGTCAGCAGAGCAGTCCGGGCTATCTGTAGGCACATTTGCAAATTACCATTTTCCTTGGAAACCTCTGAGACATACATTCTCAGAGGACGGTCTGTTTACATTATATGAAATCCAGACCATAGAATTCTAAAACTAAATAATCTTCACTGCTGAACACAAGTCCTCCCATTCTATACTGAGAACACTTATGTTCACAGGGGCCCAGGACTTGTCCAAAGCTTTAGGCATGTGGTGTCTGACATGAAGTCATCCTGGCTACCTTTGCTTGATCCTTTCTCCTCCAGGTCCCTTAGAGAGGGTGTGGGTTCAGAGACAGACAGAAGAATGTGTAAGAAGTAGAAAAAAAATTGTATCCCTCCAATAAGGGGCCATGTATGTCATAATGACTGGATGCTGGTCCGGATGCAAATGTCTGGCCTTCATCCCACTGTGGCCTTGGGCTGTGGTCCAAGCTTTGACTACATTTGCCTCAGTCTTCTAGAAAGAACCACAGAGGATGCACCTGCTAATTCAGTGGTTTCCACCTTCCTCCTCCATAATTTTTTTTTTTTACAGATTCCTGAGACACTTGGCCTTGTTTATCACTGCATAAGCTCCCAACACTTAGAAATGTAATCAACAAATACATTTAGCAACAAAGGAAACTAGTGTCCCAAAGTTAGGGAGTTGGTACAGTAATTTACACAGTTGTGTGAATTAAATCAGATGACTTCTGTCCTCCCACCTGGCAAAGTAGTGGTTGGGGTATGGGAGATTTATATGAGGGGTGACTGGACTCTTGGAGATGAAGCAGGTCCAGGGGGCTTCTGACATGGGGGTTATGGGGTACCAAGGAAGGTGCCAGGAAGCAGGAGAGGGGTTCTGCAAGAGAGCTGGAAGTCTGCCTAAGAAATTGCTTGTTTCAAAAGTTCACTGAGTCTACCTGGCTGGTGTCTCATGCCTGTAATCCTAGCTACTGAAGAGGCTGAGATCTGAGGTTCATGGGCAGGAAAGTCCATGAGACATTTAACCCTAATTAAGTAGCAAAAAAAACCCCTGGAAGTGAGGTGTGGCTCAAGTGATAGAGCACCAGTCTTGAATGAAAAAGCTAAGGGACGGCACAGTCCCTGAGTTCAATCCTTAGTACCGGCATTTAAAAAAAAAAAAAACCACTATATTCCTGCCAGCCAGCTAATCAAATCCTAAACAAAAGGACTGTTCTATATCCTAAAAGAAAGCAAATGTCCTCCTATTTCCTCTGACACAGGTTAGGCCTTCAGCAGGCAGCACTTGACCATCAATTGGTTATCTCATAGGTGATCAACAAAATCCTTTCTTGTGCTTTGGCTTCTAAAGGACTCCCCAACTCCCAACTGAAATGGAGTTGCCTTTGTAGAGGTGACCTCTAAACACCCCTCTGTAATTCAAGCATGATTTAACAATTAGAGCAAGATAGGACTCTCGAAGAGGTATTCAGAGACTGGAGAAATGAACAGAAAGTTTAACCTAGTTTATAAATAAAATTGTCACTTAAAATATCCTCTGGCAACTTTAGGTGAGCAGCATAAATTGAAAAACAACCTGTGTTTTTGTTCCCTCCACTGGTGAACATGAATATTCATGACAGTTTTAAACACTGGAAGTACTCAGTTTGGGATGCCATATTACGCCCTCCTCCACAGTACGATGTGCTCGTATATGCTCAGTGATCAAATACGTTGGTAGGAAATAACATATATAATAGACTTACACCCTAGGTACTTCCACTTCTGTTGTTACTAATTTAAAAATCATCTTGAAGGGAATATTCCTTATCTCTTTAAACTCGGCAAAGTATAATTTTCTTCGCTTTGTCGGGCCTGGAAGCATTTCATGTTCTGACACAATACAGACTATCAAGTAAACTCTGGCTCAGCCAGTTTAAAGATTCCTTTTTCATCCCTGTATAAAATAATTGTCTTAACCCTTTATACCCGTAATGCCCACCCACCATTTCTTCAAACTGACCGGCAGTCTCTTTTATAATGCCAGGCTAATTTACCTGGACTGTTATTATAAAAAAAAAGTGGGACTTAAAAAAATAAACCCAATTGTGGTCATAGTAAGCCCTGGCTGGGCTGTGACCGGCCGTGGTCTCTGCGGTGGCGTCTGCGGGGCTGTTCAGCTGTTGAGTTCCCTGGTCTCATTAACATCATCTGGGTTTTTCATCATTTTCTCATATTTTCTCTTGAAGAATCCAAGCTGTAAGGGGGTATGACATGAAACTATTAATGTCTACCAGAATGACAATTACCCTGACTTGATCATTACCCAGGGAGTATACACGTCAGATATAAGAACATCAAATTGCACCCATGAAGGATGCCCAACTCAAGCAATGCTCCTCCATGGCTTACATATGGCTTTGATCCACTGCTATCATGGTCACTGAGATCCTTCCAGAAACTTGAGGTGAGCGGGCTGCTGCAGTCTGCTACCTATCATCCATTTACTGGGGAAATTTATATCCAGAGAGTTTAATTGACCTGTACAAAATTAAATTTCTCAGGATCTATGTATTTGAAGTGAACAAAATGTTCAGGGTCCAGGATATAAGAACTTTCCTTTTAAAGGACAACATTTTTACTGGTCTTCAAAGCCAAGAATAAACAAATTTCCATTTCTTTTCTCTGTGGTAGGGGAGGTACTAAACTATACTTAAGGATGCTTTTATTTTATTTTACTTTTTTTTTGTAAGATAGTCCAAGGCAGAAGTCTTCAGGAGCCTTGTATTTTAAAATAGGAAATTTTTCTTACCTTCCACAAAACTGCCACCAGGGCTGCCAGTAGAAGGATTCCAGCAATTATACTCCCTACTATGACCCCCGTTGGTATTTCGGCTTTCTCACCAGGTTTCATGATCATAAGGGCAATCTGCAAACAGATATTCACAATTCATTTTATCTCATTTGAGCACAGAAAGAGGTGTAATGGGACAGTATGAGTCTGTAAGCCTATAAATGCATGTCCAAAACTGGAAAGGACACAGGACTCACTCAAGAGTAAGTTTTCTCTGGGTTTCTAAAATACTGATTTGTCTTAAATTTGATTCCAACTTGGTATCAATTGTTGGAAAAGTTGTGACAATTATCTCAGGGTTCAGTTTGACCTTGACAGTGGTGAAATTGTCCTTGTAGATAAACATGACTCTGAGTTTACTTCTGGCCAGTCTTTGTAGCATTGTAATGGAATGACAGCCCTAAGAGTTTTAACAGGAAAACTCTGCCACAGTCTCTCATTTCTTCTTCTTTTTCTCCTCCTCCTCCTCCTCCTCCTCCTCCTCCTCC